GATTCAAATTGAAATTTTAATGAAAATATTCCTTGGAATGAATTTTCTATTGAAATTTTAATTGGAATTGATGATTATTTTAACGATTATCTTTCCAACGGATTATTACTATAGGAATATGGAATTTTCTTTGAAAATTACCCGTATTTCATGTTGGAATATCTACCATTAAAAATTAGAATCGTTAAAATCCATTTGAAATTCCAATAAAAAACCTTATTCTGACGCAATATTTTTGTTGGAATTTGCATTGAAATCCATTGAAAATTAAGAAAATAATAGCACTGGAATGGAATTATTGTTGGTATTCCATTGAAATATATTGTCATTGGAATTTGATCATTTCGTGTATTGCAATAATCGAGCCGAGCTCAAACAAAACTTAGACTTGTTACAATAAAAGCTCATTCATCTAATAATTGAGCCGAGACCAAACAAAAGTTACACTTGCTTGTTAATTGAACGAACAAGAGTCTATTCGTGAACGCTTGTTAATGTCAATTGTGAACATTAATTTAATATATAAGTTATTTTATATGTATATGTAGATTTTTAATTAAAAAATATGAAGTATCAATATGCATTTTTCTATTGTCAAAATTTTAATTTTTCAAACTCGAAAGATTCAGAACCAGCTGAACTTGAATAATTAATCAACACCTTCGATAAACTTGTTTGTTAAACTAAGTTAAATTTTAAGGAACAATTAAACAAATGGCTTCAAGCACGATTTTTTGTATGAATATTAAACGGGCCAAACTTGAAGACGTTTATTATAAAATCCAAAATATAAAAAAGGTTTATATAATTTCATAGTTCAATTTGTTAAAGTTCAAATCGACTCATAAATATTAATAAAGGGGAGCTCGAACTCGAGCTCGTGTATCAACAACTCAACCCACGCTAAGTTCGGGTTACGGCCGGAAAATCTATACTTATAATATGATTACCCGGAAAATCTTAGCTTGATGATGACGTGGAGAATGTTGAGTGGGCTGGTGCACAGTAGAATGTGGGCCTGGCTGCACGAGATCCACTCTAAGTGCGGGTTAGGGCCGGTGCCAGGTGGCCGTCACTATTAGTTCATAATCCTGACCTGTCAAAAAGTGGCGGGTACGTTTAGCCACGATATTATGCTAACGCAATCAAGCATTTTCAATTTTTGACTTTTGTGACCTCCTTAGTTGACCATTGGATAACAATTAACAACCATTTGGACTATTTGGATAATTAAATAAGATGAATTTTTTTTTNATTTGTGGGTTTTATTTTAATGTTATCTTTGGAATGGGTTTCCCGAACAATATTTGCATATCAGGTTCCAATTTGATCAAGTTGAGAATGTGGAAATCTTAGAACAATATGTGTATATCCGTTTCCAATTAGATCGAGTTGAGAATGTGGAAATCATAAATTGAATTTCATTTAAATGGTCAACTTTAACTTTCATTTGGTTTCCTCCTCTTTTCCTAAAGTTGTTCCAAAAAATCAAAACGATTGGATTTGATGTCTATTCTATGTGAAATACTCATTTTGTCGAGGGCATTTAAATACATTATAAGTTAAATCAATATTAAAGAATAATCAACCACAATGAGAAGGTATAGCGGTGTAGTAATGCTATGAATAACTGTGAAACGTAGGTATTTTGTAACGAGTGCGCTCAACGTTGTTAGAACACAAATAAACAACTAGAATAGCGGAAGCAATAAATCAAAGATTTAAAAACTCTTCAGGGAAGCGTCCCACTTCCCCTCAAAACTCTTTCATTGATAACTCGATTGTGCACATGCGTATAGTTTTGGAATTACAGCAACTAGAATTCCCTTCTAGCCTAACCAACAACTATACTCGAATCTACCAACTACTTCTCCGGCCACGTCCCGTGGACTTTAGCTCTCGAATCCCTCGAGCTAAAAACAGCACTTAATCCCTAAGTACTGATCACAGCAGTGTTTGAATGAAAAACAAAAGAATCAAAACTGGCTTCAGTTCTTCAATGTCGTAAGAACACTGAAAACTGAACTGAGAACTAAAATAAAAGAAGACTTGAAGCTCGAATATTGAATGGAAGATAATGATCTCAGCAGCCTTCATTCGTTCTTCAAGTAGGGTATATATACAACTCATTAGGTTTGGAGTCTTCTCCAAGTTCTTTCCTTCTTTCACGATCTCCATTGATCTTCTTCCCAAAAATAGTGTATATATACATGGAAAGTAAATCTTCCTTGATTGTATGTGATTTGGAGATCTTCAGAATTGAGTTTCCAATGGAAATCTTCGTGGTTCCAGATTCGTGTGAGAACACAACTTTCCTAAAATAGCCGATCTTCCAAATCTTCAAAGATCTTGTGGTGAATCTTTCTAAATCCTCCTTAGATCTTCTAGATAACGTCCATAATTCCTTATACACGAATTGCTCATCCTTTCATAGTCTTTGCCACATATTCTTTGTCCTATAAGAGAGAGAAAACTAATTATGGCATAAAATCAAGCTCATTAATGCATGTGACATATATGGTAAGTACATATATAAAATATATATTATGTAATACTTCTCCTAAAGGTTTAAGATTCCATAATACACATTATAATAAATATATAACATATATTATTAATAATAAATAATAAAAACTTAATTAATTAACAAGTAAATAAATAGAAAACTTCCATTTATTTTATTTTGCTTGCCTAACAAGAAAATCTTGTAGAAAACACTTAAGTTTTTCGGATGATGCCAACAAATATTCTTACAAACTGAATAAGGAATACTGGTAATAATATCAACAAAAGAACGTAGGTAATCTATTTTGCCAGATCAATTTATATAACTATGTGTTGGCGAGATATGCATTGCTGATTTTGACAATATTATAATGATAAAAATAGTCGACGTCTGACATAATTATATTAGACAAATTATTATCATTGTATAACATGACTTAAAAATTATTTATTTGGGATAACTATTGTATAGTCATAATTTTTAACATACGAGTGTGTTATAATACTGAAATATTATATACTAAAAAATAATATAAACAGATGTATGATAGTTCAAATTACGTTAGCAAGTGCCTATGGATGCAATTGAATATTCTTTCATTTGAAAGTTAAAAAAAATAGTCGGGAGAAATAAGAATTTGCAGAAGGATTATTTTATTTACAAAATATGAATTGATCGAATATAAAGAGTAATATTTTATGATAATGTGATAACAATAGTAAATTAATAAGTGATTTTTACTAAATATGTGAAAATGAATAAGTAAATGTTATAAATAACTTTTTCTGTGATTATTATTTTTTATTTCAAAATTATATTAACAAATTTGAAGATAAAAAAGGTGAAGGGGTTAAATATCGAACGTATTGAATGATAAATAATTTTGTTTAACTTTCAATCACAGGGAAAATTATTTTTGCTACCAATTCATGTTTTACTACATTGAATGATTGTATAAAATTGTGATGCCATCATGTCATTAATTAAATAAAATATATATTAAAACATTATTTCGAAATATAAAAAATTTCAATTCCTTCAGTATCGATTTAGCACAGCACAAGAGTCAAACATCATCCAAATCAAAAGTTAAGGTAATGATCTTCCAGTTAGAGTCTGCCACGTCAACCGTTGACAAAATAAGCTGACTAGACGATACAGTCATACGCGATCTATCCTCTCATTGCTTCATATTTTCAAAAAGGTTAAAAAAGAAAAAGAAATACATAACAAATGGAAAAGCCGATTAATTATGCGAGAGGAATTTTGGTTTGGTAATAATGATTTGGATAATCTCTTAGATGGAATCCATTTCAAGAGTGATTAGTGGAGCTTGGAATTTCATGGGAATCCATCGGTGATTAGTCCAAAACTTGGATAAACTCGAATAATTAATACGGAATCAAAGTGTTGGATTATTCACAATTAATGTCATGTTCACACTTCCAAATTTTCGGATGCTTAGTTACATCAACCAAAATGTCAAGTTCAGAAAATGAGGTTCTCTTTTGTGAGCAGTATGCGAATTTTACATGTGCAAATCAGTTCTTGGTAGATTATCTTATCACTGAATAAGAGTGTGTGATTGTATATAAATTTGTGATTAGATTTTAGTTTTGATTGATTTTTTTGATTAATCATTGTTAATTTTTAAAAAATTGGTTTTGTTAGGTTTGAGCGACATTTTAATTTGAATTAAAATAATATATAGTATAAAACTATTAAAATTGATTTGATGTAAAAGTAAGAGAGATGATCGAAAGTGATTGACAGTTGGATGAATAAACATCAAATTTGTAAAGTAAATGTTAAAAAAATCATAGTTTAATTTATTTAATTATTTTTTCTAAGAGCTCACTAATATAATTGAAAAAATAAAAGCAACATGTTATACAATTTTTAAAGGAAAAAAATCTATTTAGTCATTCGTATATTTTTAGCTATCAATTAGCAGTACTAATATTTATTATTTTATTATATGAACTCTTATTATCATATTTTTTTTTTTATTATACATATTTAGTATTTACAATCTTAAAATTACTTTACTTTTTAAGAAACTATATTTTCACTATTCCACTTTCTATTTTTAAACGAGATAATCTTATCCAATAGCTATCTAATGAATTTCTGTAGGCAATCCCAATTCCCAACCCTTTAACATAGGGAATCCGAAATACCTACATTACTATAAATGGAAATAAAAGATATCAATGGAAAATACTATTGACTATTTACTTATGGAATCCATAATATTTAATTACGATCATTGCATTTGCATGAGATTGGATAAAAGTAAAACAAAATTAATAAACAAATTAACGTTTGTGTGTTGATTTATGTGTTATCAATCCATATATAGTCCAATACACACCCATGTAGTTATATACGTATAGAACTGAATGCTCTTTTGAGGTGTGTGTTTGGACCCCACACCGCAATAACACCCACCCAAATATCCAATCCCTATTCTATAAATACCCACTCAAAAACGATCTTACATCCAAACAAAGCCTTGTAAACTAAAAATTCCTTATGCAAAAACAAGAAAGAATAATAATTCAACTTTCCTCCTCAACAAAAACAAGCTCCCACCACACACAAACACATTCTCCCAAAAAATAAATAAATAAAAATGGTCACTACCGATGAAGTCATCACTCCTCCTCCGGCGAGCCACCGCGCCGCCGTCCCGCCACCTCAGCCATTTTCCCGGTCACTGAAAAACACACTGAAGGAGACATTCTTCCCGGACGATCCCCTCCGGCAGTTCAAGGGCCGGCCAGCCGGCCGACGGGCAATTCTTGGTCTGCAGTACTTCTTCCCGATACTCGAGTGGGGCCCACGGTACACGCTCGACTTCTTCAAATCGGACCTCATAGCTGGCATCACCATCGCCAGCCTGGCAATCCCGCAGGGCATCAGCTACGCCAGGCTGGCGAACCTGCCGCCAATCCTCGGACTCTGTGAGTTGATATATATATAGTCGGATATTTATTGTTCGTTTCGATTTTATTCGAGATAATAATATTAATTATTCATGCCTATTTAGTTCTATTATTTTGTATGTGAAAAATATGTTAGCTATTTTATTTTTTGATTTTTATATAATGTGATTGTCCAATAATTCAATTAATAAATTAGTGTGCAATAGAATTTGTCAAGTTTGGTTAACAAATTCATTGAAAATTTTAAATAAAAGGATAATTATGTATATTAAAATTTACTGCTAAATCTCAATTACAAGTTAAATGGCATGTCACGTAACAAGTATGATGGATCGACCAAAGCTGACTTTTAGTCCGCCTGTTTTTGTTATTACAATTGGTTAGACTCGAGTTTTGTTCCGCCATTGATTTACGCGGTTATGGGGAGCTCGAGAGATTTGGCCGTGGGAACAGTAGCCGTTGGATCATTGCTGACTGCATCGATGTTGGCGGCCGTGGTTAATCCGGTGGAGGATCCCACACTGTATCTTCACCTTGTTTTCACGGCGACTTTCTTTGCCGGCCTATTTGAAGTCGGCCTCGGCATTTTCAGGTTATCTACCTACCCCACACCCTTCTTCATAGTAACCTACATTTTTTTTTTCAAAAAAAAAAAATATTATTATCATTGTTATCATTTTTATAATAAAGGATTATATATTATAATTATTTGTAATTAATTGAATTAAAATGTTGCAGGCTAGGGTTCATAGTGGATTTTCTATCGCATGCAACCATAGTAGGGTTCATGGGCGGCGCGGCCACGGTGGTGTGCCTGCAGCAACTCAAGGGCATTTTAGGACTTGACCATTTTACCCATGCCACCGACGTTATCTCAGTCATGCGCTCCGTCTTTTCTCAAACCCATAAGGTAATTTCACACTCTCGGTAAGCACTTAATTAATTATGTAATTAGTTAATACTTATTGGGCGATTTGCATGGATTTAAGTATAAATGAAAAATGCTACAATTCCGTTACGGAACCATTCCGTCGGATTTGTAACCGTTAGATCATTATGTAGCTATCATGGATAATTGATCTAACGGTTATAAATTCCGACAAAATGATTCTGTAACGAGACTGTAGAATCTCCCTTAATAAATACCGATCCACTTACAAGCCAATAAGCATCTAATAAGGATTTCAAACGTGATGAGTGTTTATGTCGGCAGGGTCAAATTCTCCCATTAGTGCAGCTAGAAAGAAAGTGCAAAGTGTAATTCAGTTAAACTTATCTTATACTTCCACCTATTTATAATAAGTGTCGTTTTGAGAAATTACACAGTAATTAAAATTTTTTTTGCCAATAATAACCCCTATTAATGAAGATATAGATGAATGTTTTGAGAAAATATGAAGAGTGAATATGAAAAGAGTAGTATATTTATTAGCTAGCTAAATGTGGGTAATAATGAAAAAATGTACAAAAGATCCAAAATGTCATTTATTTGGTTAATGATTGATAAAGCCAAAATGACATTTAAAAATAATAAGAGGTAGTATATATTAGATAAAACTTAATAAAGACAATAATTGTTATAATCTTGCAGATGTATATTGATCTGACGGTTCAAATTTTAAAGTGTTCATGTCAGTAGGGTTGAATTTTCACTTAAATCCATCATTGCAACTCTGAAAAAAGACCAAAGTTCAATTCAATCTTATCTAATATGTATTAGACGAAACTAGTTAACTATCTTAACAATTGATTAATCTTTAGTTAAGTGCCTCGTAGAATATAATTAATTGAGGTTAGTTGCCATAAAGTCTATTCGGATGTCTATCATTGTCTCACCTTTCCCAATTAAGACCACGGTCAACCATCATCCGTTTGACCTATATAGCAAAGCACTTGAAAAATTTCCTAAAATAGTCATAACTGGATAAATCAAATTTGATTCTTTCGAATTCGTTTAGATAAACGCTCGAGATGGAATTTTGAGTATCAAAAGCTTGAGCTTAACTTAAACTTTTGCGCGATTATATTTCAATTTTCAACTGAATTCATGGGCGATAATTCAAATAAAACAATTTTAAGAAATTGCTATTAATTAATTTATTAAATTCAAAATTATATTTGATAGAACACAAATTTTAAACTACTTTTAGAATTGCTCCAAAACACCCACCTACCCACTCATGACAACCACCCAAAGCCAAATACAGTGATTTGCAAAAATCACTTTATTTTAAACAATCACTTTATGTACAGTAGAATAGACGAACGATGAATCATATCTCGCTATCATAATAACTTGATGAAACTTAATCATCATTAATGTAATTGTCACATATTGACTCAATACTTTGCTAGAAATTTTTATTTTTTAACTAGTAATTTTTGTCTGCCTTTTTTACTAAATTCATCCAGAATCAATTTATTTTCACGAA